GAAAGGATTGAATTGTTGATTAAATAAAGTTTTCTTTATCGTTTAAAATAAATATATAAAATTTGAAATTTAAGATTAAGTTCAACTTTTATTTAATTTAAATTTTTCTTACATTTCAATTTTTTTATTTAACCTTGTGATCTACCTTGTGACTTTTTTTTTTAACTTGTCATTGACAATATTTTTTATATTCTGTCACCTTTTTTTTTTTTTTTTTTTTCTTAATTTATGGTTTATATTTGTGAACTACAAAGTACTTCATCAGTACTTTTATTTAATCCATTTATAAAAAAAATAATTGCGAATTTTTCAATCCATTAAATTTATTTTTTGATTTCTGTAGAAATTTGCTAAATTTATTTTGTTACAAAATGAAAATACATTAGTGATTTCAAATTTCTTTGGCGATTATTTGCTTGAAATTACTGAAATTACAAATTTACTAAAGTAACCAATTTAAAATTACTAAAGTAACCAATTTAAATTTACTTAAGTAACCAATTTAAATTTACTAAAGTTACAATTTAAAATTACTTAAGTAACAATTTAAATTTACTAAAGTAATCAATTTAAAATCACATAAGCATTTCATTTTTCCTTACAAATTTCTAAATTATTTTATATTTTAAAATAAATGCAAAGAATATAAATTTGTTGCTAATTAATTCATTTTGGGCAAACGAATAATTTGATGACAATAAGCAGCAGAAAGAGGGATTGTCCCTCTTCATTAAAAGGGAAATTTGCATTTTATAGAATTTTCAAATTTAAATTCAAGAGATTATGTCCCTCTCTCTCTCTCTCTCTCTCTCGATAAGTATATGCTTTTATCCATATTCTTCCATAAGAAATAGCCATTCATTAAAAATTGTTCTTTAACAAACTTTGTGCAAATCTCTCTCTCTCTCTCTTTTTACAAAATTTCCTCTCAATTTTGCATTAATAGTTAAATTCATTTTTCATTATCAAAATTAAAAATAAAAAAAAAAAAAAAAAGAATCCTATAAAATGAATTTTCCAAAATATTATCATTTTTTTACTCTTTTAAAATATTTGTTGGATTTTTTGTTAAATTATACACAGATTTATTTATTTGTTTGTTTATTAAATCATTAATTTAACTCCGTTTTTTTTTTTGGAATTTTTTAATTTTTCGATTATTTTAGCTCTGCAATGTTAATTTAATTGTTCTTTATGAAAATGCTTTTTGCAAAATTAATCCAAAAACAGATCTGTCACATTTTAAAGTTTTATATTTTATTTAATCGTAAAAATCCATTAGTTATAAAACTGTGTAATAAAAACATTTGAAAAGTTGCTTTTAAAAAAAAAAAAAAAAAAATTAAAGGATGATTTGAAAATTGTTGACAAATGTTTAAACTTTTTTTGAAATTTCATCATCTTATGAAAATATATTTTTATGCTTTATTTTTTCAATGTCTGTAAGCTTTCTTTTTTTTTCTTTTTATTTGTAAAAATCTATTGATTATAAAATTTTGTAATCAAAACATTCACTGAATCATTGTTAAATTCTGATCAAAATTTTTAAAAAAAAAAAAAATATTTTCTTTTTTTTTTTAAAAAATGAAATTTCATATTTAAAATATACTACTATTGAAAAATTCTTTTCTGGATTCTACTTTTCACTTTTTTTCTCTTTTTTTTTTCCCTTGGATTTCTCCAATTTCAACCAGCATTTAAACGAGCAACAAATTCTACGAATATTAATCAATTAAATTTCTCATCCTACAACTATTCTATAATCGGTCCAGAAACAACATTTTACCGAAGCAAAAACTGGATTGATTGATTGTATTTTCCGGATATGCATAGAGAAAAGCTAAATTTTGAATCACGCAGCATCCGGTTTTCATCTGCACAACAGAAGGAAAGTTTCAAACGAAACAGTGTGAAAGCACTGAAAAATACCAATCGTCGACCGGGAGGACTTGAAATGATTCTTGCATCAATTGATGACTCATTTATTCTTCTATCTGATTTAATTACTACCACCGAAATTAATGATGCAAATTTACGAATTGATGAGAAGCATGATAACATTGTTGCATCTGATTTCACTGATAATAGCAAAGATTGTATGATATGGAAGAATGATGGAAAAATTGATAATTGTGATAATTTTATTGATAAAAAATTGTCACAAAAAGTTTCTCAAGAAATAGCAAAAATTGATTTAACAGAGGAAGAAATTATACAATGGATGGGTGGTTTACCAATTATTAATCCGAATAAAATACTTGCATATTTTTGTGATGGAACAAAAAAAATTTTATCAAATTATGAACCATATCAAATTTTTTCTTTTACAAAAAATTGGCAAATTAATGATCAAATTATGATCAAAAATTTAATCACTGAGGTTTGTTCATTTCTTCATATTTCATAGATTTCACACTTAAGTTCTTCAAATTATTTAGCATTTTATGTTTCATCTATCTCTTTTTTATTCTAATAATAGAAAGCATAATGTAATAATCAAAAAAAAAACATTAAATTTAAAATTATTACATTATGCTTTTTATTAAATCAATTTTACTGGAAATTTGAACATTGCATAATTAAATTAGAACTAATACCATTAGATTTTAAGTATAACTTTGAGGAGAAGTTTTGAAATAGTTAAAAAAAAAAAAAAGAAAAATTACAAACATACAATTTTGATCATCGAAATTTTGTAATTCTATTTTATCTAAAATATTCACTTTATAACAAAGCGATACATTTGCATGAAATATTATCGAAGGTAAATGGTATTCAAACAGAAGAAGCAATACAATATGCAATCTCTTCTAATGTTATCATTTACGGATGAATTCTTTCTTTCAACTTTACGACTTTTCATTGTTGGAATAATTTTAAAAAAAGAAAAAAAAAAAAAATAAATGCTTATAGCTTGGTAGTATTATTTTCATCTTTCAAAGGTATTTTTGTTCAGAAGGATCAAACTGCATCATTTATGCTAATTTTGTTTTTTGCATTTAGCATTTGAAAAAAAAAAAAAAAAAAAAAAATAGCTTTAAATAGACTGGGTATCTCTTCATTTTTATTTATTTATTTTCATTTTTTGCTCTTACCTTCACGATGTGGAATTTTATATAAACAGTAAATCAGTTTTAAAAGTATAACAGTAAATCATCATCCATTATCATTGTCCTCATCATCATCATCTTGGTCACTATTATCATCATCACTATCATTACATTATCATTATTATTATTATCATCATCATCCATCAAAGCTTATTGTGTTAGCTCAATAGAACGGAAATGTAAAATGACGAGCGGAGAGGAAATGGAAATGATTCAGCATGTGCGCATATGTCCTATACAAAAACATCTTCCATTTAGTGCAAACTATTAAACGAAATTCTTAATTATATTAGCACAAAGCTAAATTTTAATTATTCGATTAGCTATCTATTATTCATTCAAATAATGAAATATGTAGGTTTTTTTTTTTTTTTATTCGTATATTATTTGCAACTTTTTTTTTATTTCTGTTTAAAATTACTTCAAAAAATTTATATTAAATAAGAATGTTCCATAGTATTTATTATCATAAGCCAACTTTGATAGCTTTCAATTCTTGAAATTACAGATAACTTTCTTTTTTTTTTTTCGCATTTATTAATTAGATCTGATGAAAGTTAATGAGAGATTGAAAATTAATGTTAATGCATAAGAAATTAAGGTAAAAAAGAGGAAATATAGAATAGTTTTAAAAAAATATATAGAATAATTTAAAGAAAAAAATACATTTGTTTTGAGGAGTGATAAGAGGTATATGATAAAACAATACTGATAAGATAAGATCTTCAAATAAGTATTTATAGAGAAGGCGATGTTTCGTGCTGAGTAAAAGCTAAAAAGGAAAAAAGGGGAAAATTCAATTATGCTTTGAACTATGACCCTTTTTATTATCATAATAATGCAGTATAAAATTTCACATAATCACTGGTAGCTAATCATTTACTCACTGATAGCTAATCATAATCACTTATCATATTTTTTCGAAAAGATCGTTTTCTTCATCTATTAACTATTCTTTTTATGTTACAAATAAAAAAAAGAGTGATATTTTTGTTTTTTTTTTTAAAAAAAAACTTTTGATCGATTAAGTTCAATCATTATATTTTTCAGCTTTTTCTCTAACTCTTACAAAATATTGACTTTTTCTTTTTTTTATAAAGATTAAAAAACCCAATAGAAAAATGATATCGTATAATTTAAAATTGTAAGCCAAATTTAACTAGCTATCATTTTTTGGATCAATAATATCTGAGAGTAATTTAAATTTTAATAACAATTAATTTGAAGTAAAACTTCTGAGATTAATCATCCTCATAACAGCTCCAATAAGTTTTATTAATGAAAAACTAGAAATTACAATCAATGAAGATAATTTTGTTCATTAATTTACTATCTTTTATAAACATTTTACCTTTTTAATTTTATTAATTCGATTAGCTATAAATGAAAAAATTTAATGTTTTAAAAAATGGAAAATTTACATGAAAAAATTGAAAAAAAATTTATGCAAATTTCAAAAATTTGAGTAAATCTATAAAAAAAAAAAAAAAAAAACAAAAACAAAAAAAGCAAACAAACAAATAAACAGCGTTCGACACAGTATGCAAATAATTCTATTCAAGCATATATATTATCAATCAATAAATCATTTTTTTGTCTTTTTTCTTCTCAATGATATTTGCGTTATTTGGATGAGTTTTTTTCATCTTGCACATATCATCAAATACCTCACGTAATTTCCTCTCTTACACGTAATTTCCTCTTTCACACGTAACTTCTACTATTGCCTTCTTTTTTTTATTTACGAGAAAATCATCAAATTTAAATTTATTTTAAAACAAAACAAAACAAAAAAAAAACATTCTTCTTTTTTCTTATTTCCGTTTCCGTTTTTTTTTGAAAAAAAAAAAAAAAAAAAGTTTTTATTGGCTCATTATGGAATGCAACTGTATGAATTTGCTATGCACAAAACTACCAAAACATAAGGTTAGAAATTTTAATTTTCTCTCTCTCTCTCTCTCTCTCATCTTTTTGATATTTTCCCAGGTATTTTGCGGTTTTTTTTTTTGATCTTGAAAAGCTAAGTTTTGTGGATATATGTTGAAATGTTATTTAAATATTATTTTAATTTTTTAGTTAGTATTTTCATTTATTTAATGGATTTGGATAAATATACATTTATGTGTACTATTATAAATAGTAGTGGTTCATATAAAAAAATTTTATTTAAATATTCTTATTTGCTTATGTATGATTATTTAATGTTACTGCTATTTCCTGTAATTATTTGTTTAAAGAATGAACTTTCTAAATTTTCATTGTTTTGCACTTTTATTTGATACAAATGACGTGACATAAACGTAATATATACGTGATATACATATACAGAAGAAGTAAGCACATTTCATATTTTCTCAAGAAGTTTATCTTTTCTTAAAGATAAATCAAAATTTTATTGGAATTATTTAATCATCGTTTTTCCTGAAATTGAAATTATATTTCGGATCCGATTATGCTTCATCTGCTGCAGAACACTTATAAATTGTTCATTCAGTTATTTATCATCTATCATTGTTAGATGGAATAGATTGACGAATTGAGATCGAAAGAAAAAGAAAAATTTAATTTTTTCAAAAATTTCGCTATTTATTTTTGAATAATTCGTTTTTTTTTTTTTAATGCTTTTATTATTGTCATAACAAATCTTAAAGATTTTATTAGTGTCTTATTGCCCATTCATATATTTTGCTGCGTAGAAATTGATAATTTTTTTTTTTTTTTTAACACTAATTTGAATAAAGGAAAAAGAATGAAATTGCCTAACACTGTTATGCGATTCCTTTAATTCATCATATCATCGTCTTTTTTTTTTCTTTTTTTTTTTTACAGTCAAAGAATTTTAAAAATTAATATTAATGTATAAATCATTGCACAATCAATTACTTATGCATTTGTTGTGATTATAGAAAAATAAAAAAGGGACTGAGAAATTATAACTAAGGTAGGTGTCTTCATTGAGCACTAAACAAGGATATTAGTAGTAAAGAAAATCATTTTTATGATCATTTTAAATTTTGTCATACCATAATTTTAATTACTACATATTCAATCATTTTAAAGCAAATTACATATTTTTCAAAGTTATTTTATTTTTCCTATCGATCGATATACAAATAGTATTTTAAGTTATATTCCATCTTATGTAACATTTATAATAATATAAAAGGTTTTAAGTTTTCAACCTCTTGCACCAAATTTTAATTTACCAAAGTTATTTTTGATTTTATTTTTAGTTAGTCCTAAACAAGAAATCAAAAACAGCAAACTGGACTACTGCTACGAGAGAATCGGAAATAAGTGATCACGATAGAAGAATTCTAAAAAAGGTATTTTATTATCGATAAGTCATTAAAAGAACTATTATTAGGCCTTACTAATTCATCTAAGTTTCTGAAGTTTAGAGAAAAGGAACCAAGTGCTTTCATTAATTCTCTTCTAGGACATTAGAAAGCTTTCTTTATCGAAATTATCAAATGGAAAAATTATCAGTAGATAAGATTAAGTTCATTCTGATTTCGGATAAGATAGATTGACATGAGATCTGAATATATTTTGGATAGCCTTTTCTAGGATATTTTCTGTTTCTAGTTTCAACTGATCGACTTTCAATTGATCGTCTTTTATCTTTCTAAAGAGCAATCATTTTCTTTTTTATTGATAGTAAATGTGAAAAAAGAAAATGTGAAAAATAATAGCTAAAGCATTGATTTTTAACCTTTATATGAAGATTATATTATCATTTTCTCTTATATATTCAGTTATGTTCAATATTTTTTAATTAAAATTATTGATATAAATATTCAGTCTCTCTTTAAACATTTTTGTTTTTTTTTTTTTTTTTTTTTGGAGTTATAATGCTGAAAAATTTCAATGATATTTTACATAAATTTATTCAAATCAAATCACATGATCTTATTCATATTAGAAGAAAAATAATTCCAAAACATTTATCAATGCCAAACTTATAAAAAAAATAGCACTACTTAGGAAATACTTCAATTTTATTTCAAATCATTTTGTAACAAAAATTACAATATTCGGTGGTAGTTTGTTAGTGTAAAATGAAATTATAAAAGGGAATTTAAAATATGTTTAGACAATATTACAAGTTACATTAGTTGTCATTTGTTATATAACGCGTGTATATGTGTTACAGATTAATCGACTTGACGGTGAAACTAGTTGTAGTAACAATCTGGAGCGGACATCGGTTCGTAGTATCATTGCTGGATATCAGCAAAGACAACTTTCATCAAAACCGTCGTATACTGCACAAGGTCATATTTAAGCTTCTAGTTGTATACTTTTAAATTTAAATCTTAAGTGTATTAGTTGAGTATTCATTAATGTTTATCAGAATGTAAGAATGCAGTGCAGTAAGTTTCTTTTTTTGAATTATCATTTAGCTCTTTCTAACAATTTCCTCCAATCAAACTAACACATTCGTTCTAATTAATATGAAATTCGCTTACCATAATAAATACTCATAGATTGTTAGGTTTGAATCAATTTTTTAGACAATAAAATCTATCAGTTCAGTTCAGTTCAGCTCAAAATATAGTCTTTGAAATTTTATTATTATATCATTATTATGAAATTTATGAATTTAACCTATAATTCATATTTCATTGCTTTCTGAAAGATGCAAACAAAATATGCAAACAAAACAAAATCATTTGACCATTACAGAATAAAGTGCTGGTGCGAATTGATTATAAATTTATTCCGATCCACTTATCTCATCCATTTAAACAGTTTAATGAGATTTAAATTTAAAGAGATCTATTTAAATCCATTTAAAGAATAAAAGCATAAAGTTCTCTGTAAATTCATAGATTTTAAACTTCTTACTTCATTCATACAATTGTATGATTTGTGAAAAGAAATGAAAAAAGAACAGTTTTGATATTTTTCAAGCAGGAAATTAATTAATCACAAACACTAATTTACAAATTTTCAAAAAAGAAAGAAAAGGAAGTTCCGGAATTCTCCGATTTTTTTTTTATAATCAATTTAAATAATTTAATTAAGATATTTGATTAATTGCAATTAATTCATTTAGTAAAACCAATAAAAATGAACCATCTTGTGCATCGCTGAATTCATTATCGTTTACTGACATCAATTTGGTGACCAATTGATTTTTTTTTTCCTTTTGAAATGATATTTTTCGCTGTAGGACCTCTCTTATGCCGCCAATTATTTGGTTTAATTTTGTTGAACTATTCCAATTGATTCATATTACAAATTTAATTTGTTGGGTGAATTTTTTCGAAATGTTTTTGCGTTTTCTTTTCTTTTTCAATTTGAATTAATGTATTTATCGTAAATTTGCAGGATTATCTCCTGGAAATTTGGTAGTTTTACGTGGAAAAGAAGATATTAGCAGCCAAATATCATTAGAATCAGAAGTTGTTGAGAGTAAAGTGCACACCGACATTTTGCCTGTTGAATCGAACGAATTTCAGAAAGTTTTACCAAAAACAAACGATATGATGGAGTCGAGGAAGCCAATGGCGGTTAGTTTTTTGAAAATAATTTCAAGATAAAAAAAGAATTTGCCGTAGTACTATCTTTTAGCAAAACAAAGCAAATAAACTAGAGTGTAAATTCACATTTATAGTTGGTAAATTTATGTCAGACAAAATTAGCGTAAAATTTTTTTTTTTTGACTGAAACATTTGATATTCTTTTATATGACATAGACATATAAAATGATTTCAGGCTCCACCTGCACCACCGCTACCACCAATTCCAACTCATTTGAAAAATTCCCAGCTTAAGTTACTAAATGGTGATAGTGGATCTTCACCGATATCATCAAGTTTTTCCAATGGCATCCACAAGAGGACATTAACAACTATAACTTCAGCTTCAGGTTCAACTCAAGATTCTAGCAAGCATGAAACAACGGATGCAAAGTTCGTCCCAAAAGGCATGATTTCTCGTTTCCCATCTGGTTGTTTCCCGCAATATCTTTGCTGTATCTCTCCTAGCCATAAGAAGAGTATAAGCATAGAGGACACGTCACTCACTGCTAAGATCCGTGAGCATTATGGTCTCTTATAAAAACACTATTACTGATAATGAAATGAGGAATGTCTTTCTTTCACAAGAAAAAAGAAATTATGTAAGATTTAGATTGGCTACCATACAAATGGGGTTTCATCTTTGTCTTCGTTTCGTTATTAATCGAAAGAGAAATGATTTTAGGAGAGTCATCGTAAACATCTTAAAACCAGGATATTAAAATTGTCGTAGAACAACAAAATTATTTCAAAGAAGACAAAAATTGTAATAATTTATGATTTTACAGAAAAATTTAATGTATCTGGAAGTACCACAGAGGAATTTCGGACACTGAAATTGAATGGGCATGTTGGATTTGATTCGCTTCCGCATCAGTTGGTTCGGAAATGCACTGAACGAGGGTAATTGTGAAAAACAGCTAGACTTAATTCTCTATGGAATTCTATTCTCATCCTTAAGTGTTAAATCATTATATAAACTAAATAGATTCCTTTGAAATTTAATGCATCACTTGGATTGGTGCAGTAAAATGCAGTTAAAGTTTTTTGCTCTAGTTACTCAGTGAATATTTCTTTTCTTACCAATTTATGTAAGTAGTTTTTAGGTTTCAATTCAATCTGATGTGTGTTGGTGAAACAGGCATGGGTAAAACAACACTGATCGAATCTCTGTTCAATATGAAACTTGAATTTCATCCTTGTAATAATGAACTTAAGACTGTAGAACTACTTTCCAGGACTTATGGTAAGCTCGTTGTAATTGCTATTTCACAGCATCATCTTGTTCATAATATTCCACTTATAATATTATTTGTGTTTAGATGTTGTGGAAGGTGGAATTAGGCTCAAGTTGACCATTGTTGAAACAGCTGGATTTGGTGACCAGCTTGATAAAGATAAAAGGTCGGCATTAACATATACATCTCTTATGCAAATTGATTTATATACATGTACGAAGTACTCGTTTGTGAAGCATAATAGCGCCTGTTATTAAACTACATGACTTTTAATTCTCAAACTGTGTCTGAAAAATGAAGATACTGCAAGTATGTTTGAAATAAAGGAGGTCTTAAACAAGGTTTTAGGAGTATAGATGTTCTCTTATTATACTGTCTGACAAGCTTTATAAAAAAAGCGAGTTATTTCGTGGCAGTAAAGTAGTGTCTAATCGGCATCTACTACTACAATAGACTACAGTAGATAGATAATTCTGTCTACATTTAAGTTTGAAGAGAGATAGAAATTTAGAAAGAAATAAATAGATTGTTTATCCTACATCAAAAGTATGTTTGAATTCTATGCAAGCAATTGTTGCTTCATTTCAGCGCTCAAGTAATCGTTGATTTTATTAATGAACAATTCGAAAAATATTTAAAAGAAGAGTTGAAAATCAAACGTTGTTTGGATTATTACGATGATACACGTATCCACGCTTGTCTTTACTTCATATCACCTACAGGACATGGGTTTGCATATTCATTATTCTGCTTTGTTCATTATGGGGGTTAATTTATAAACGAAATTAGCCATTTACTTTTCTAGATAAGAAACAGAGGGATAGTTTTAGGAAATTTTTTTGCTTGGACGTATTTCTCACACATAGTTATATATAGTGGTTGTGTGTGATAAAACGTTTTCCCAGCTTTGTTTCTTTTTCACTTTTTCCCAGCATCTGCCAGATGATTAAAAACAATCAATCTTCTTTTTTTGATCATGTGAATGGCATACCTTTATGAATAACTTCGTGGGTTTTTTGTTTTCATTCCCAAGATTTTTTTTTGTCCGTTTGCTTGACTATGATATTATTTGTTCGTTTTTTTTTTTTTCAAGTTATGCGACTGCCGAACAAATTAAACTTAAATTTGATAGGTTTTTCCTTCCTCTTTCTTTTTTTGCATCTTCAGTTTCTATATGTTATCAAAATTTCCCATCCGTTTGTTTTTATTGAACTTTCGTTCCTCTTTTTTCAAGGTTAAAATGTTTTCTTATGTTGCTGTTATTGTTAGAGTGAGTTGCTAATCGAAATTATTACTGAAGAAAAATCTAACCCATTTCTTAGTTCAACATCTATTGATAATCATCACATCAAAAGATGGACTGAAAGAATTCAACCCTCATATATATGAGTGGATGGTACTGTAATCTTTGCGGCATTTTTAACCCAAATTTTAATTTTAGCAAGGAACGATATCTTCTTTATCTTACTTTAGTAATGTATATTAAATTGAAATTTTGTCCATCTTCGTCTATACTTAACCGTGCAAAAAGAGAAGAAAAAAAAGAAATGATTAAATTCTGATTTGCTGAGCTGTGCAAAGGATGCGAATCTGTCGAAAGCCAAGATGCTTAACTAGGATAAAGATATATTTTCGTCTAAAATACTTTTCAAGATCGATTGACATTCCAATTTCAAATATTTGCTCCGTTGGACAATGTATTATTAAATGCCGGACTATATATATTTATATATCGCATGTCTATTGTAAATATAGCTGTATATTAACAATGTAGCAATTAGCAGTTATATTGACTAGAATGATTTTAAATCATATATTTTTGGGACTTTCGAGAGATTTACTATGATGCATTGGACATATTTGTTTTTTGATTATGTTTATCTAACAGAAAGATGAGAATTTAATGAGGAAAACATTGAATCGCTGCCAAAATTAAAGCATTTTCTTTCTTTTTTACATTTTTTTCAAATTTTTTTTCTGATGATTTGTATCGTATCATTTTCGATGCCATCTGGACTTATTGTCCTTATGATGCAGATGGCCATCATTCTCCATCTACCGTATCACTCTTTTTTTTTTTTTTTTTAGGAAAACTTAACCATTCTTCTTTCCTTCCCTATTCCTTTCTTAATTTGAATGTCTAACTGAACTGTCGTGTTGCCTATTCATCAGAAGAAGAAAGGCGGGATGAAGAAACAGCCCTTTCATCATATATTTCAAAAATTTTTTTTCTTTATTTGGCTTTTTTATATGAGGTAACCGGTTCTTTGAATAGTTTAAATGTGATGAATTTTGTCACATTAAAATATTAAGGCTCACACTAACGTTGTTTCTTTACTTCCTGTGTCACAATTTTGAATGATATGTAAAGCAAATTGAGGTTCACATTTCCGCTGACTTCCTTCATTTCCTTTCCTTATTTGGTTTTTTTTTTTTTTTTTTTTTGTATATGAAATTAGATACTGGGAAATCATTTGTTCCTTCTTAAAAGCGCATTGCCGAATGTAGGGCGTTTGCGTCTTTTCTAATAAATAATAGCTTTTACAAATCTTTTAGTTAATTAGTCAAAAATTTCCAGTAATATATTTGTATCTTAATGCGATAGGTCGTTGTTTAACTCGGTTTTCTTGACGTTTAATATAGCAAAAAATCGTTAAAATCATTTGCATATTTTTATTAAGGGAAGCAATCATATATGAGTGCACTCTACCATGAATTACACTGAATGGAACAGTATGATTTGATACTGTCAACATATTATAGTTACACTTTATCATCTATCCAGTACTTTTCCCTCGCTTTCAGAAAAACAAATATTTGTCTTTGTTCATGTTCTTTGTGGTTCTTGATTATTTTATTTCTGTAAGGGCTGTTTGTACCTACCGATCGTTGCTGGAGAAGAAATGGCATCATTATTCCATTATTCTTTGTATCGTGTCCTCTCCCTCTTCTATTCTATGATTTTGCTTTGAGGGTGGTCTGCCCAAGTATGGCATTGGCATTTCATGTTATCCAATTTACGTTTTTTGATTAAATAATGTCGTATGTTAATCAGTCAGTTCTTTCATAAATATAACAAATGACCATGAAGTGGAAGAGGAAAATCTCCTCCTGAAAATTTAAAATGGTTGAAATGTTTGTATTTCTGAAGTTTTGATTGTGATTCCTCTTCTTTTGTTTTATCAGTAAGATAAGGGATTCGTTTATGAAGTAATTTTCATTCAACTTATTCATAACTGCGTACTTTCCAGTTATTTTTTCTTAAGATGACAATTCTTTCACAGCACTTGGGAGAAGTTTTTTTTAATCTTTATTGCTGTTGTCACTTTACTGTTCTTATTTCTTTTTTAGCTCTTTTTCACCTTTACGACATAGTGCCGTACTGAGGCATATACGGGTATTCATTCGAAGTTGGAAAAATCCTGTAAATCAGGATTGGAAAAAACACATGTAAATAAATTATCTGATAAGGATCACTTACCCTTAATATTCAACTTTCTCATCTAATTCGTTGTCTCGTTACGGTAAGATATTCCTCGGGTAGGGTATATTGACATTTTCATGATATTCTAGTGCTCAGGAGGAAGTGTTTTCATATTTCTTAATATTTTCAACCGTTTCTGACAAGCATTCCCACCCTATAAAATACGCTTGCTTGAACAAAAAAATTGATCTAAATTATAGTTAAAATCACTTTCGAAATACAAATACGCTTCACAAGATAACACGTTTTCTCGAAATGAGGAGAAAGATTCTTTGCATAAATTATATGTGGAATATTAAGTTAATGTGTGGAGTATTAGGCTGAATTATATACCTTTGTATTTTAACTCTTGTCTACACTTCTAAAGCTGGTTACACGTCTGAATTCTGGAAGTTTTCTCTTAGGATTATAAAATTTCCCGAAACTGTTCATAATACTGTTCTACCATATGCTAATTAACCTTATCACTTTTAAATGCCAAACATTGTATCATGTTGTTGATAAGAATTTATGCGAAGATTAGAATCCTATGCATCTTTCCTTTCCAAATTAATTTTATGGTTTTGGAAAATTGGAAGACTTAAAAACATATGGATCATAAGACATTTAAACTCAACTCTTATTTCGTTAAGCTTTTTTCAAGGTTGTGATAAAATTTGTGAAGATTTCCTAGGGTATTGTAGGTGTAGAGGGGTTCTCATTCTGGTTAATGCACTTAGACTCCATATGTTTATATAATCAATTTTTTATTTAATTGATTACTATTTGTTTATTTTTTCATTCAATTAACTTATTTGTTTAATTAATTTACTTATTTGAATGAAGATTACATTATCCTCTTTTCAGACTCAAAGCACTCGATGTCGTAACACTGCAACGGCTTGCAGAACGGGTCAATGTCATACCCGTGATTGCAAAAGCTGATACCACCTGCAAAGATGAACTTATAAGATTCAAAAGCAAAGTACGTTACCATTTATACATATATAATATTTAAAATATTCCAAAATATGTTCCAACAACTATCAAGAATTATAACTTTAATGATTTTCTTTATTCTCTTTCGTGCTATGATTATTTGTTTCACTTCGATCATTTCCACTTTCACATATCACTTGTTGTTTACTTAAATGCGGATGCAACTACGTAGTAGTCATGAACATAATAATATACTTGTGGACATGCGCATTTCTTTCCTCTAAAAACTTATAGGTTTTATTTCGATTTTATTAAACTTTTTTTTTTCTTTCGTTTATACATCGCTGATAAAACTGATCGAATTAAAATGAACGCTTGAAGGAAGGATTTTGTATTTACCAGCATTAGAAAAAATGCACAACTCTGAATATTGAAAGCTTTTTTATGTTCCTGATAATTTAAGGTTTTCGTTGATTCTTTATTTTCCCATGGTTTTTATAGATTTTAAGTGAGTTACGAAGTCACAATATTCCCATCTATCAGTTTCCGACTGACGACGAGACGGTACGAGCAATAAATACGGAATTAAATCAGCTTGTGCCATATGCTGTTGTGGGCAGTACTGATTTTGTTAAAAAAGAGAACGGTAAGATGGTTCGAGCACGTCGTTATCCTTGGGGAATGGTTGAAGGTATGTGTTATTTTTTGCAAATTTGCGTGAGATAGAAGAGAAATAAGTATTTGGTGCAATTATTGAAATTAACCTGATCAGTGAGAGAAGTAAATGTTTGAAATATTATTTTTAATGATTTTCGTTCAAAAAATTGTCATCCATGTTAATTTGAACACATGGATACATCTTAATTAATTTCTTGGCTATTTTAGTTCTAAACTGAATTTACTCATAGTAAAACACTTTCAGTAATTTAAAATATGTTTTCAAATTATAGTCGAAAATGAGGAACACTGCGATTTTGTCAAATTACGTGAGGCAGTATTGCGCACGAACGTGGATGCATTGCGTGAGCGGACACATAGAGTACTGTATGAAGCATATCGTCGTGAACGTTTACGTGCAATGAAGTTTGGTGATGGTGATACAGGACCTAAAATGATGGAAGCTTTCGCACAGGTTTTTTATCTCATAAATTTGCAGTAAAAATGATTGCATTGTATGAGTTTGCCTTTTTTGTAGCTAGTATTATTTAATAACTTACTTTCGGCGTTGTTCTTTCAAAATTGTAGAGCAGTCGAGTACGCAGCATTTAACTGAATAGCTTAGTTAACATTTAGGAAGAATAATTCAAGTATGAATTATCTCTATTGCTTTACGACAAATTAGGTATGTATCCGAACTTTTCATTTTCTGTTTTCTGATTCCACAAAAGCATTCATATTGTCATTTAAACATTTAGCAATTAAACGGAGAAGCAAAAAAGGAGAGTCGGTATAGGGTTGAGAATTTTTCGGTAACAATATGATTACACAAAAGTAGGACTTCTGTTTAGACGACTTATAAGTAATGTTCTCGTTGGTAGCATCTTTTTATTTAGTGATGTCTAGTATAACATATGATTGTTTATAGAAGCAGCGTGAATTCATTGATGAAATGGCAAATAGAGATACTGTTTTCCGTGATGAATTCGCTACACGTGTCAAGAAGAAGGAAGAAGAAATGAAAAGAAGGGAAGAATTGGTTAGTTTCTTTTTTCTTTCTTTAAATTATTCTCCAGAAATTTCGTGAATTATTATTGTGAAAAGTTGATTTCCCGCTTTCCAAACTTAAAATATGATATTATTGTTGCTTTGTTTGTGGGAAGTTTACAAATTATTTCGATTTTTCTAATTTAATTTTTTGTTGCATATTGCAGCTAAATTTACGAGCCAAAAAGATTAGCGAGAATTTTGAAGAAGAATTACGACGTATCGAATCACAAATGCATACATTATTGGAAGAAAAAGCGAAATATGAATTGAAAACAGCTGGGAAAAAAGCGAAGAAGTAAGAGAGAATCATTTCTAGTGCATTCCATCTCTTATTGTTTCCTTTATCTTCTGCATTCACTTTTTTCCCATCTATTTTTTCCCACAAATATTATTTTGCTACCGGATGGTTTTGTCCTGACAGTTATATGTGCAGTTTTTATTTAATAAAAAGAGTTGAGTTTTTTTCCTTCTTTCTTGCTTTCGTTTCTTCTTTATTTTTCCTTTTTTTCATCTTTATGAAATGATTTTGTTTTTGGTAAATCTCATAAAATAATCTTCTGAAATTCAACTTGCCGATTGAGGTCGGGCCGGTAGGGCTTTTCTCATTTGAAAATGATATTGAATTAAAGTTGAATTTATTTTATGTTATCAGGATGGTTTTTTTTTTTTTTTTTTGCTAAAAGAGATGGTTAAGAATGTTTTAGCACTGCTCAAAATAAATTTGGTACAAAATTTATATTTCCTGTTTTTTTTTTTTTGTTAGAATTTGACTGACAGAAGAGCTAGTAGTGATTGTGTCACCCTTTTATGGGGAATGTTTCAGTTCGACCTCATTATCGAGCGTTCAGTCGGAAACTGTGCGATCGATTCTTTTAGTCATGAAAATTTGTTTGTTGTATTCTGATTTCTGTTTTCATGTTGTTTTTTTTTTCTTTTTTTTTGCTGGAATGTGTTATCAAATATGCATTTATCAGTAAAGTTAAAAAGTGTTATCGAAGATGGTGCTCCCTCAATATCAATTTTTAGAATTGGAAAATTTAAATTGAAGTACTCAAACATTTGTTTGCATCATTTTTTTATTTTGATCTTTTTACAAGATAAGGTTTTTCAGTGTGTTAATTTTTCTTGCCTTTTTAGTTCTTGAAATTCTTGTGATTTCTGCAAATTATGAAAAAATAGTGTTGTAATTTGCATCTTTTTTTTTCTTCAGCTATTTTCAAAATTTTTTGTGAACAATTTCCAAAGTGGTAGGGTTTCAGATGGTTCCATAGCATTATCTTTTCTCTACAATAGGCGTGCTTTAGACTAGTTGTGTTCTTTTTTTTTTAATAATTTATTCATAGATGAGATGAGATTAGCCTGAGAATAATAGGGAGAGGATTTTTCGTTTTTGTTCTTTGCGTTGTTTCCAGAATTATATTTAAATTTGAAGAAAAAAATTTATAAAAATTACTTGATGTATGTAATTTACATTCTTCATTCATTTCGATTATGATTGTGAATGGAAGGACTATTGTTTCATTTCTTCAGTTTTGTTCTTTTTATGTATTTTAAATTAATGGTAAGGCTTACATCGGAATCGGATTTTTTTTTTGACATTTGATGGTACCAGATCATTGGTTACTTGATTTGATTGATCCGATTTCGTTAGACTTGATAATTTCGACAAAGTAAAAGACACATCTTGTGTTTTTTTATGATTTTAAATTCCACGTTATCACAATATTTATCTTTTTGTTGATCAGCTAACTCATTTTTATCTGTCATTTTTTTCCCACTGTATGTTATTGAGAATATTTGACTATGATTTTTTTTTTTTTTGAGGGGGAATCTGGATTGTATCATTTCTTTTTTCCTTTTTTTTTTTTTTTTAAAACCGAAACTCATTCCGTTAGTTTTTTTATGAGAACCCTATTTATAGTTTTGAATTAATATTTCAACTTAACTGTAGATTTCTTTCGCTGAATCGATTTCGCTTTACGAATCTTTTTGCGCATATCTGTCAGCAGAAACAGATGGAGAATTCAGGTGTTTTATAATACAACAGGAATCATTCTAAGGTTAAGATTTCCAGTATCTTCAGCAATTTTTCTCCAATCGATAATGATATTTAAATTTTTGTATGTTTTCATCGATCATTGAATTTAGCGAAAAGGATTTCTTGTTTATTTTTTGTCTAGTCTATTTTAAAAATTACAGATCTTTTTCCCATTCTTTTGAAATTTCTCCTCGGGTTGACTTCAAATTTTCGTAGTGTTGAAGAATTGGAATCTAATTGCAGATGTCTCAGAGAACTGATCATTCATTCTGTTCGTTTTTATTGTTTATTATTATTATTATCATCGCCTTTATCTCTCCGTTTAATATTTCGGTTTTGTTTTTTTTTTTTTTCTTGTTGCAAATATTTTTATTTAAAAAAGAAAAGAAGAGTGGTTCCATGTAGATATATATATGCTTGTTGCAGAATAATATCAAATCCTTATGAAAGACAAAATCCATTATATCTTCCCTTAAATATTCATTGTAAATATGAAAGAAATTTAGTACTGTCGAAAACATTCATTTTTTTTTTTATCAAATTTCATGCAAGGAATAATGATAATGTGCATTTGTCCTACAAACAATCTTCTATATAGATGATCTGCAAGCAATAATGATAAATGCGCATCAATCCTACAAATGATTTCCTGTAGATGATCTGTAGGCAATGGTGACAAATGCGCATCTGGCCTACATATTCGATGCATGCATATTCTTTTTCCAGTTTGGATAGATAATTTTTAGCGATAAGTTGATGAAATAAATGGTCGGGGTTAATTTTGCATTACAGTTATCTTCTATAAATATTACTCAAAGTCGAGAATAATTAAATACAGGCTATGGGAATGATTGATATCATAAAAAATCATCGAGAACGAAGGTTTCTTATCTATACTGTGCATATTTTTTTTTATTTTTTTCTCATATATCATTCTTTTAGAATGATATCCATTTAACAAATAAATGTATCATTGCGATGTGTAAAGACTATCATTTTAACATTTTTTCTTTTATTAAATTTAACTTACTTAACATCTGAACAGGAAAATATGCTAAATTTTCTCGAGCAATTTCGATGTTTCATTGCTTCATTGATCATTTGATTTCATTGATGCTTAACTGATGCACTTTTAGTTGTTGAATTTATCGTTGTTGTTTGCGCTTTATCTTCCTTTAATTCAGCTTCTTTGTCTAATGGAAATGTTTGATTGATTGTTTCCGTTCGCCGCCTTAGCTTTTGTTTATTGTAATTTACTGATTGTTGATTATAATTGTCCACCTGTTCATCGGAGTGTGTTTCGGCGTTCTGCTCGGAATATGTGTTGGGTACTTGTGGGGCGAAAGATTCTTCGATTATTTGATCGGGATGCTGAAATAATGAATTTGCATAAAAATTAAGGAAGAATCAAAATGAAATTAACATAAAATAGTACTTCAATTATTCAAAAAAATCAAACTAATCATGATCAATTCTCAAATAATCTTCCACAGAATTTTCATATAATTATTTCATTTATAGTTGAAATGTAAATTTTATAAAATATCAAAATGCATTTAATACAATTTTTTAAAAACTGTAAAAAAAGAAAACTAAAAGATACTTTGTCATATACTCACTACAAATGGAAGTTTTGTCTAAGACTTATGAAGCTGATCTGTTTGATCGGGATACAAAAAAAAAAAATTTCTTGCATAACTATTAATCAAAAATCGAACTAATCAATACAATTTATGATTTTCTCTTTTAATATATCTCATTCTCTTTTTACTCATATAGAAAATGCGTTCATTATCAATGTTACATTATAAAATTATCGCATAACCACAAAATAAAGACATTTTTAAAATGAACAATTTAATAAATTTGCAAAAGCTATCCTAAAAAAACTATACTAGTGATAATTATTGCATTTGAGGTAATTGATAAGATAATTGATAAGCAAACCTGATCGCTTGATCGATAACATAGTATATAAAATTTTGCTGCACATCCTTTCTCATTACGTTCAGCTACAAAATACATGCAAGCGCAGTTAGGATCTACTGATGAACCTGTCAACGTTTGTCCACAACTCTTATCAGTATCATTATGCGGTAATGAATGCAATAATGGATTAAGTGGTGGACAATTACCTGGCTGAAAGTTCCACTTTTTTAAATTATCTTTTAATCAAATTTCACTCTCATATCTACATTCATAAGAATTGCTTAGAAAATATAATTAATTCTTTGATACATCATTTTATGCTATCTATTTTATGACAGTTATTTTCAAATTTACATTTGTTTATAAAAATTTATTTTTCACAATGTTTACCTTTGGAAGAATACTTGTATCTAGTATTCCCTTTTGCTTTTCTCCATCTTCAGCAATTGCTAATGGACTATTTTGTGATTGAAATTCATAATTTAAATTCCTTTTGTTAGTAGCATTTAATAGGAAAGATGATGAATTCTGTTCTGTTTCAATATTTTTTTCAACTGATTCTGCTAATTGAGATTGATAATTGGATGGTGGTACTGCTTGCAAGCTAGCATTATAGTTTGTTGTTGTTGGTACATTAGGTTGATTAAATTTTGAATCTGATAATGTCGTATCAGATGACTGATACTCTTGATCTTCTTCATCATTTGATTCGTATGAAATTGATCTCTCCTTTTTTGGATTGCTTAATTCTCTGTTAAAATTTTCTTGCAAATATTTTTCAATTTCTTTAGATAATCTAAAATAATGAGTGGCGATATAAAGTGGAATTGGTCTTTTTGCTAATTTGTTGGAATTTTTTTGATGGTTTGTTTCAGATAGCGGAAATTTTATTTTAGATTGAGAATTTAAATCAGATTCAGAACTGGAATTCGAGAGTTGATGAGCTAATTTCAAATCATCAGCATTTCTGTTTTCAGCACTCGTTTCTGTTTCCGGTTCGGCCGTAATTATTCTTTTACTTCCTTTTTTAATAAATTCAGCTACTTCCGGATGAGTTAACGTACGACTAGTGCTAAGTTTTCCATTAAGACCTATCCATTTTGAAGCAGTATTTCTTCCTATTTGATCTCTTCCAAATTTTATATTTGTTCCATCTGAAAAAAAAAAAAAAAAAAACTTTTTATATCATTTTTTTATAAGTGGTTAAAATTCTATTAAATTTGCATTTTAGTAATAGTAATAATACATTGACATAAGTATAATCATTATGTATAGGATTAGTTTTCTTTTTTTTACTTTTTTACTTTATGATTGATAACTTACCTTTTGGACCTATTTCAGGTTTCAGGTCATCACGTGATTCAAATTTCTCCCAATATTTGCTATCTGCAAAATACTGTATAATTTCATATATCATTATTAAAATAATTTTAAAATGCTTGCTTTCTTTTTTTAACATAAAGATTTTTTACGTGGAATTGTAGTGAGAACTAAATAAAACCGTACAATAGTATAAAATTCAAATTCGAATTATTTAAATTTTTAATCGAAAATCAAATAGTATACAAACAATAAGTAACTTTTCATTCATCGATTATTTATTAAAAAAAAAAAAAAAAAAAAAATTACAATGAATAATTACTTGAATACTTACGGGAAATTTGTGATTTGGAAAAATGAAAAATTGCCCATAAATACAACAGATGCCAAAAATCATTCATTCTAATAAATCCAATATTCATTATTATCATTAAAAAAATATTCCATCATTAATCAATTATTAACAAAAACAAAAAAAAAAAATTTCTCATTCATAATTTGAAAATGAATGAGAAAAAAACGTAAATAAAATGAAAGAAAAAATAAATTCAAAATTTTAATGTATACGAAATTATGATAAATGCAACTATTTTATTGTAATAAATTTGATTAAACTGGAACAATTTGAGCATTCATTCCTTTTTGAATAAAGAAGCTGGCGTAACTAACTTTGCATTATAGAGAAAATAAGTAATATTTAAAGACCGGTAAAATTTTTATACAAAATCCCCTCTAGGTAAAGAAATAGGTTAATATACGATAATAATAATAATAATAATAACGAGGAGCGGGTTTTTCAAATATCATTGCTTCGGGGAATGTAAAATCTTCTTTATTAGTTAATCATTATAACAACCAGTAACTAATAAAAATATTCATTTCAAAATGTTATATGCAAAAATAATCCAATCCATAAAATTATTCATTCATTTTTATCTCTTATTTGTAATTATTACAATGATTTTAAAATATTTTTTCAAATACAGCAAACTCTATCCCTACTTCTTTTATGCTTTTTGACAAAATTAAATTATTAAAATATCTTGAATTAATCTATTGGAGCAATTAATTATTAAACGTTATATGCTAAGCAATCATGATAAAGAAAATATAATGATAATAGTAATAGTTAATAATAGCAATAATAATAAAAATTATAATAATATTATATCAATAGTAGTGATAATAATAATAATAATTATTATTATAATAATTATAATAATAACGATAATAATAATTATATAATAATAGTAATAATTATAATTATAATAATGGTTGATAAATAATAAAAGTGAACGATAACAATAACTTCACTTTATTTAGATTATTTAAACACAGATAGTTTAAGTTTAAAAAAAAAGTTTTATTTCTTGATTTTTCAACAACTGATAAGATAATATAATTAGTAAAACAGACTAAGCCTACTACATTTTGCTTAAAATATAATATTGTAATAGATGTAATTAAATTTTTACTTTTTTTTTTTGTTTTGAAAAATTTTTTTAATCAAAGTATTTATTATAAAACTAAATATAATTTTAGTATTTATTATAAGACTAAATATAATTTTAACAATTTTCCTGTTAATTTCATTAAAAAAAAAAATAAAACTTCGATCTTTTTTTTTTCTCGAATACTTTTTATTTTCTATTATTTCTCATTTTTTTTTTCTATTTATATTAGTTTCCAAGATTTTCACCAAAATTATTAATTAATTTAGGTTTATTTTATTTATTTTTATTCATATCAATTTAATCATTCACTGATAATTCCATTTTTCATTTAATCAACTCAACGCTGTTTTATTCATTCTGCAATAAAATATAATTATCATTTATTTCATTCATATGCGAAATAGTAACAATATGAAATGAAAATTTTGATAACAATTAAATTTCATTAATTTAAATTGTTGATGGAACATACATTTCGTCAACAATTTCAAATCAAAATTTATACTTAATAGTTTGAGAAATTTAATTGGCAAAAGTTACATTTTATATGTCATAACGATTAATAAAAATTTTAAGCCAAAATTTATTCAAACTTAACAATTGGAAGAATTTAATTACAATTACAGCAAATATGTCATATTTTATATATGCTATAATGAGTTTTAATTTTTGAATTTTTTTTTCAAAATTTTTTTTTTGATAAGTTTATATGCTATCAAAAAATTTCATTCATTTTTATCCAATCTGTTGAGCAAATAATAATGGTAAAAAACATAAATATTTATACAAACAAAGAGTTTTTTTATACATTTTTCCATTAACTGTCATAATTCAAATAAAATATTTAAACAAAATTTAATTAATTCTAACAAATTTATTGCTTTTTTTTTTCAAAAAAAGTTAATTTTGATATGATTTAAAGAAATTTATTTCTTTTAAATCTTTCTAATAAATTTAATCAATTTTAAGAAATTTATTTTTCTTTTTTAACATCTCTCTTTTAAATACATCAAATAAATAAAAAAAAATGAAATTCTTTCATTTAATATGCAATATTTTTTTGCTGTCCTTTTTTCTTTTTTTTCAAATTTATTTGATAATTATAAAAAAAAAAAAAATTTTTTTTTTTTAATTCTAAAAAAATTGATCATTTGTGGGGGGCGGGGAGGGGGGACAGAAATCAAATTGATTTCCTAATTTTTTTAAACAAAATATTTGCTAATAATAATATTTCAATATTCAATTTGTAATTTATTTAATAGCTATAATAACTTTTAAAATGTATTGGAAATGATTGAACGAAATTAATTTCAACAATATCTATAATTTTAATTAATTTTAAAAATATTTATGCATTAATTACAATTATAATTTTGCATGACATAATGGACAAAATTGTAAACAATTCATTTCCTCCTCATATGCATGATGTTTACAAGTTGGACAGAGCCAAAATTGCTGCACAAGCATTGATCGACCAGTGACAATGCATGTGGGAAATTTGATGTCACAAGATGGACATATGTGACAATAATCTTGAATTTGTGCATAACAACTCGTACATTCCACTTTATTCATTTGTGTATCTTTTGGTGAATATCTAAGAAATAATTATCGTTTAGTTAATTAATTAATTAATTAATTAATTACACTAATTACTTTTTCCATTAATTCATTTTTGTGATTTAAAAAAAAAAAAAAAAGAAAACAAAATAAACTTACTTAGTAAAAATTTTCATTGCAAGTTTTTTATAACTTTCCTTTTCATCTGCAGAAAATGTTTCCAAATTTTCTAATTTAATAAATGCACGACTGCAAACAGCAAACTGTCGTGTAGCACAACTTGATAATGCTATAAAAATAATTTAATTAGAAAATTTGTTTAAAAAAAAAAAATGAAAAACAAAATAAACAAACAAATAAACAAACATACATTGATTGAATTAAAAATTAAGTTAATAAATTCAATGATACATTATATTGTAATGCATTTCATTCATCTAAAATTTGAATTATTCCTATTTTTTTTTTTTTTAAAAAAGTAATAAATTAATTTTTACTATTCTTATATTCGAATAAAAATAAATTTGAAATATAACACCAACCAAGAAGTGAATAAATTTCAGCTGGATCGATAAGATCTTCATAATCTGTCAAATGTAATGCTGTCATCATTGCATTATTTATATCACCTGTAAGTTTCTCGTAATTCAAATTTAAACCAAATTTTTTATAAAATTTAATTTGAGTCAAATTTATGAAATTTTCAAAATAGAAAAAAAAAATAACAACGCATCTAAAGTAATCAAAAATAAATGTCAAATTTAATAATGAAAATTGAACTTTAAATAATTTAAATTATTAACTTAAATTGAAATTTTAAATCAAACATTGTATGTCAATCGATGTAAACAGTATGAATTCGAGAGAGTTTGTAAAATAAATGAAACATTTTTCTAACAAACAATTTATTCTATTAAACTTAAATGTTAATGATATTCTTTTGATTGTTATGTATTATTTATTATTCACTTTTATTACAATAATATATTTAGCAAATAATTAATTTACACTATTTTAACACAACAGCAATAAATAAATAAACAAATAAATAATTTTTTTCCTTGTAAATTTATGAAATTTTAAAAATTTTAAAGGACCATTATAGAGTTGACGATGTGCAAGCATGTAAAAATGATATGCCTCAGCACCACGCCATGCATTATCAATGATAGTACTATCAGCAAGCGAAATTTTACTGTCCACTTCTAGTAATCCTCTGAGAGCTATTTCTGCCTGAAATGAAATTCATTCTTATCAGGAATTTATTAATTTTAAAAGATATTCAATGCATTTTTTTTTTGAAATCAATTTTCTAAATTTTACAATCTTTTTTTTTGATGATTAAATTGAAGTATGACATTAGATAAATAATATGTTAAAAAGATCAAAGACTACGTTTCATGCAAATTTTGACATTGCAAACTATTCTTTGACTAATGACGAAAGTAAATGATTACACGTCATTTTTGACTGATAAGGAGAGAGGAAGGTTGGTTACACGTCATTTTTGACTGATAAGGAGAGAGGATGGTTGGTTACACGTCATTTTTGACTGATAAGGAGAGAGGATGGTTGGTTACACGTCATTTTTGACTGATAAGGAGAGAGGAAGGTTGGTTACACGTCATTTTTGACTGATAAGGAGAGAGGATGGTTGGTTACACGTCATTTTTGACTGATAAGGGAGAGGATGTTGGTTACACGTCATTTTTGACTGATAAGGAGAGAGGAAGGTTGGTTACACGTCATTTTTGACTGATAAGGAGAGAGGAAGGTTGGTTACACGTCATTTTTGACTGATAAGGAGAGAGGATGGTTGGTTACACGTCATTTTTGACTGATAAGGAGAGAGGAAGGTTGGTTACACGTCATTTTTGACTGATAAGGAGAGAGGATGGTTGGTTACACGTCATTTTTGACTGATAAGGAGAGAGGAAGGTTGGTTACACGTCATTTTTGACTGATAAGGAGAGAGGAAGGTTGGTTACACGTCATTTTTGACTGATAAGGAGAGAGGAAGGTTGGTTACACGTCATTTTTGACTGATAAGGAGAGAGGGAGATTACACGTCATTTTTGACTGATAAGGAGGGAAAGAGAGAGAGAGAGAAAATTATCTGAAGGCTTTTTATATGATATTTGCTTTATCAGATTATCTCGTAGAAGAAAATATAAAGTCTAACATCAGATTTATTTGCTGATTCCTTAGCAATTTCTGATTTATTTTGTTCGTGATACTGTTCAATAAGAAGAGCGCCCATTACGTAAAGTTTTTTTAAACGTAATGCTTCAGCTTGTTTTAAACGTTCATTATTTGCAATCTGAAATTATAAAATCGCTTTTTAAAAAAAAAAATTTCCATTCTTTTAAGAAAGAAATATATATTCAAAACATTTTATCTAAATAATTTTGACAAAAAACAAAACAATAAAATTACGTTTTTCAACAAAAAAAAAAAAAAAAAAATTGTTTTTAATTCTAATAATTCATTACTAAATTGTGAATTTTGAAAAAAAAAATTTGATATATTTCAACAAGTAAATGGTTAAAAAAATATGTGATATAATTTGTTTATTTGTTTGTTTATTTTCATTATTTCATACAAAATATTATCTACAATTTTTTTTTTTTTTTTTGAATTATTATTTAAGTGATCTGAAATAATAAAAAGATTATACAAGGTAAAATGATAACATACATCAAAAATAATACGAGCAGCTTCCAAATATTTGCCAGCTCTTCGGTAAAGTTGTGCTGCTGCTAATGTTTTCTCGTTACTTCCTAAAAAAAAAAAAAAAAATAATATTTTTAAAATTATATTGTTAATCAATTTTGCTAATTTAAATGCTACAAATTTAAGATATAAATTAATTTACTCTCTATCATATATATTCCTATCTTTTAAGTCTAATTAATTCTGGAAAAAAAAAAAAAAATTCGTCTATATTTTATATGAAATATATTTCATTAGTACCATTCATTTCTAAATAATTTATCTTTATCAGAGACACTTATCACTAAATGATATCGTTCATTTCCAAATAACTTATCCTTATCAATGACAGTTATCATTATTTGTAATAAATCAAAACATTATTGTTATCACTATTTACGATGATAAGTCAAAACATTGTATAAGAGACATTGTTCTAGAAAAAGATAAACAAATAAACAAGTAAACAAATAAAATATACCAGTTAATTGTTCAGCATAACGGTTAAGTAATAAATGAACATCGCGAAGATTATATGTCTTCGATAGTTGAACTGCTTGTTCCCATTGATTTAATTGTATGCAAGCATCTAATGCTTCATTTAGCATATCACACTAAAATTAATAAAATAAATGATTGATTAAAATTTAATATTTAATATGGAATTGTTGTTTTTGAGTAATATTTAATAATTATGATAATTTCTGTCAAAATTAATAAATAAATGATTGATTAAAATTTACTTTTCATCATATAATTGTCTGTTTTTTGAAATGATATATAATAATTAAAATAATTTATGTCAAAATTAATAAATAAATGATTGATTAAAATTTAATAGTTAATATGGAATTGTTGTTTTTGAGTAATATTTAATAATTATGATAATTTGTGTCAAAATTGATAAATAAATGATTGATTAAAATTCAATACTTAATAGATAATTGTTTTTTTTTTCCTGTAAATAATATAATAATAATTAAGATAATATCTACCAAAATTAATAAATAAATGATTGATTAAAATTTAATATAGAATTTCTGAATAATATTTAATAGTTATGATAATTTCTGTCAAAATTGATAAATAAATGATTGATTAAAATTTGCTTTTCATCATATAATTGTTGTTTTTAAATGATATATAAGAATTCAAGATAATTTGTGTCACCTTGCTTTGACATCTTTCATCTGAAAGAAAATTGTCATTCTCTTAATGATTACGTAAATATTTCGTCTTCTTCCAGTTTAGTCGATCACTGAGACATTGTGATATCAATTAACTTATCATTAAATTAAGCTATCCTTTTTTTTTTTTTTTTTTTTAATTGATATCATTTTTACAAGCATAAATATTTTATATATTATACTAAAATAAATAATTGATTAAAATTCAATATATAATTGTTTTTTTTTTTGTAAATAATATATATTAAATAAAATAATTTTTGTCAACTTGCTTTGTGACATATTTCGTATCAAAAAAAAAGCGCTAATTTTCTCTTTTTAAAAAATTTATTTATTTAATGCTATTAGTTGATCATTGATCACAAATATATCGTTTAAAACATAATTTTAATCAATTAAAAAATAAAAATTAATTAATTGAATACAAGAAAAAGAAAAAAAAACAATAAATTATTTTGTAAACATTACCCGTACGAAACATTCTACTGCTTGTTCACATAAGCCAGCGCTTAGGAAAATTTCACCAATTTCCTACAATAAAATAAATTAATAGTAAATGTTTTAATTGAACAAAAAATTTAATAATTTAATACAAATTTAACTTATTCCTCTTTTTTTTTTCATATTTTAGCAAACTTTTATCAGCAGAAAAAGAATTATAACAAATTTTTTTTGTCATTAATCAGTTAAAAAAATTTTTCAAATAATTGCTAATTAATATTTAATTAATTATAACACATTAATAGTTTTACAAGTAATAAATTAAAACGAAGATTTACAGCGATAAGTTTATCACCATCAGGTAAACGTTTTGCTAATAATTCCAATTTATCATAATTATCATCCATCAAATAGCATCGTATCAGTTGCTTATGATTTTCTCCTTTTTCATAGTAACTTTCAGCTTGTTTCCTGGAATTTTTTTTTTTTTTTTTAAATTTAATTTTTAATTAATTGCGTTTTTTATGGTTATGTCAAAGGTCATTATTTCCTTCAACTATATTCGTTCATTTAATTGTATTAAATGCATAAATATAACAGTGATAAGCTGTAAATACATCAATGAATATTTACAACTTATCATTAAGTAAACATTGCTGACTTAAAAAATAATCAAATATTTGTTGACTTCAAAGAAAAAAAAAAAAAAAAAATTTTTAAATTCGTTTTTGCATCCATCCCAGGTAAACTTACCATTTCTGTCGTTCAGCATAGTAATCACCAACATGATTCCATGCTTTCATCAGTAATTCATCATCACCTGGTTGTTTACTTTGCTGTAAAATTTCCACAATTCGAAACCAATCATTCATTTTTTCTCGTAGTTCAAGTGCTAAATCACGTCGATCATTTTCCATGTAAATTTTTTCCGCTTCATCAATACGTCCATAAAATGTTGCTACTTCAGCTTTCTTGAATTCATCATTCTAAGAATAATTTTATAAGTGTGAAAAGTTAAATTTTTTTTTTTCCTTTACTCAGAGTAATTTAAATGACTGATAATAATATTGAAAAAAAAAAAAAAAAAAAAAAGATTAAAATAGAATTAAAAGTTGAAAGAGTAAAATTGTATAATTATTGATACCTGTAAATTACCAATCCGTTTGATAAGTTGTATTCCGGCATAATCCTTCAGCATTATGAATGCATGTTCCGCAATAACCGTATCTAACCGTTTTAATGCTACCTCAGCTAGTAATGCCCATAGTTTTGGATGATTGTTCTTTTCGATAAATGCTGTTGCTTCATCAATTTTCATCTTCTCTAAGAGATTTTTCGCATTTCGAAGTAACTGCAAAAAAAACAAAATTTTAGGAAAAAAGTTTATTTTTCTTTTTTTTAAGAAAAAAAATTTAATTTTCTAATAGCAATTTGATAAATGTATTTTTTGATGAAAAATTATATTATTGCATTCAGTAATTTGCATTTATTTGCACAATTTATTTCATAACAAAATGAATAAAAAATGAATTACTAAATTAGTTTAATTTGAATATCAACGATTTGCATTATTTTTGTAAATTTAAATTATTAATTACTAAGTTATTTCAATTTTAACATAAATGATTTGCATTATTTTTATAAATGAAAAAATCAACATCGATGATTTCAATTATTTTTATAAATAAAAATATTAATTACTAACTTACTTTAATTTCGATATCAATGAATAACATTATTTTTATAAATAATAGTATTATTTACTAAATTGCTTTAATTTTAACATTAATGAATTGCATTATTTTTATAAATAAAAATACTAATTACTAAATTATTTTCATTTTAACACCAATGAATTACATTATTTTCATAAATAATAGTATTATTTACTAAATTACCTTAATTTCAACATCAATGATTGCATTATTTTTATAAATAATAATACTAATTTACTAAATTACCTTAATTTCAACATCAATGATGAATGATTTATGCGGTGTGTCAGGATTTTTCATTAATTCATCGAGAAGTACGGTACGCACGATGAGATTTTTAAATGAGCAAATATAACCATTATTAATAATTGGTTCTTCAATTTCTTTATTTCTAATAACATACAATCGTGCTTTCTCCATTACTGCTATTGTATCATCTTTTTCCTATAAAATATAATTATTACAAATTGAATGAATCAATAAATTTAAATATTTAAATTTTATACTTAATTAAAATAAATTTAACAAAAAACAAAAATCATACAATTATTTTATATATACAAATTCGTTTTATATTTTAATATAAATTTTGATTTATAATTATGTTTATCCATTTATCCTTTTTTCTTTATTTTTTTTTTTTTTTTTTTTTGTTCTTATTCTTTTAACATATTTGAGCAAATTTTAGTCTTACTTAAACAATTTAAATTAAACAAATTCTATTTCTAAAATGACATTTTTACAAAGATTTCTTTTTCATTTATTATTTCAATTTTTTTTTTTTTTTTTTTTTTAAATGAAGAAAAAAAAAGAAAGAAAAAATTTTACGGTTAAAATATAATATATAAAAAGAAAAAAAAAAATTTCTTTCTTTCCTTTCTCATTCATAATTTAAAATTTCTTTCCTTTTTGATAAATTTTCTTTTTTTTTTTTGAAAATTGAAATTTTAAAAAAAAAAATTTTTTTTTTTTTTTGAAATATTTACCGAATCCCACTTAATATTCCATGCATCGGTTCGTTCAAGATACAATGATACTACAATATTATCACGCAATTCGAATAATTTTAATCCTTTAGCAGTAAGTGCAGCAATTCGTGTTCCATTACAATTCAATTCTAATTTTTCAACCCGACAACCCAAATTAAGAACTGATTGTAATTTTATTTCTGGTAGTGAATAATAATTTGCTGCGCCAGAATTTCGACACTGCAATAACGTTTTCAAGTGCTAATTTTTAATATGCAATACTTTTAGTTCACGTAATTTACGTCAATAATATTATATTATTGTAATTTTTATTAATTATATCAAAAATTTCACATTTATAAAAAAAAAAAAAAAAGGAAAATTAATGTTAAAATAAATATGCTAAATGTAGTAGCAAAGAAGAAAAAATTTAATAAAATTACTGAAATGAATTGAATGATTGAAAATAATCCATAAAGTCAATTTAATTAGTTTTTGAAAATATTTTGAAAAGTATTAGTTAAAAACAAAATTTTGATTCAAACACTTACAACGAGAATGAATTCCTTCGAGATTCCTATTGCACATATTTCATCTCTCTGCCGCTGAAACAAATTTTGAGCAATGATTATTTGAAATTTTTTGTACAAAAATTATGTTACTTACGTGTAACGTAATATTTGACGTTTATTTATACCTAATTACTAATTCATTTTAATTATGTTAATTACGTGTAACGTAATATTTAACGTTTATTTATACCTAATTACTAATTCATTCTGACTATGTTAATTACGTGCAACGTAATATTTGACGCTTATTTATACTTAATTACAAATTCATTTCATTATGTTAATTACGTGTAACGCAATATTTAACGCTTATTTGGAACTAATTACTATTTGATTTAATTATGCTAATTAACAATATTTAGCGTTGTAACGCAATATTTGACGTTTATTTGTATCTAACTACTAATTCATTTAGTTGTGCTAATTACGTGATTTATACCTAATTAATAATTCACTTAATTATGTTATTTACGTGCAACGTATTATTTAACGTTTATTTATATCTATAATCCATTTAATTATGTTAATTACGTGTAACGTAATATTCAACATTCATTTATGCTAAGTTACTAATTCTAATGTAACATTTAATACTTATTTATACTTAATTACTAATTCAATTAACATCTACATAAATTAGAAATGAAATACGTAACATTATTAAGTATTATGTTATTCAATTCAAAAATTTAATTACTTGTATTCGTCCTCGCATAATATTAGATGATGTGACATCAATTTCATCATTTTCATCAACATAATATAACCTAAAATTTCATTAATTTTTTAAAATATGTTAAAGAAAAAAAGCAAAATATTAGAAATAATTATCACTAATAGAATCACTAATTTAATCACAATTTAATCACTAATTTATCGATTATGATGATAATGATGATAATAATAGAAAGTTAAAAATAAAAAGAAATATTATTAAAAATGAATTAAAATATCAAAAAGACTTAAATTTTATTTTCAATTAAAAAAGAAAAAAAAAAATTATCAAAATGAAATTTTATTTACTTTTGATCATTTGTCATTGAATCGTCAACATTTACATTTATTTCTCGATTTATAACACATGGAATATTATACTGCCAAATGGTAAATGATAAATTATTTGCAATTACAACTTCAGAATCATTCATTACCACATATTTTGGCTCTAAATTAATATATTTGGAATCGATTGTTGTTCCAATACCATTGCAAATTTGCATAAGATACTGAAAAATATATTCAAATAATTAATTACTTAATTTTCTTCAAATCAATCATTTAATAATAAATAATTACTTAATTTTTCTTAATTAACTATTTAATTATAACTACATTTTTTTTCTTAAAAATTCAATCTTTTTTTTGTGTCATTTGTAAATAAATATTAAAAAAGAATACATTTTTTTTAAAATAATTAATTGCTTAATTTATAATTTTTTCTTCCTTAACAATTAAACTACATTTTTTTGTTGTTTCTTTTTCAATTAAAGTAAATTTCATTTCAATGCTTCATTGTAAGCATTTCATTAATTATTTATCACAGATGAATGATTAGATCAATAGTGATAACATATCAGTAGTGATAAGTGATAAGGAGAAGAAAAAAGAAATGAAACCTGGCCAATTTGATTCTCTACACGTGTTATCAAGATGCAATGTTCATTGATAAGTGATGAGGAGAAGAAAAAAGAAATGAAACCTGGCCAATTTGATTCTCTACACGTGTTATCAAGATGCAATGTTCATTGATAAGTGATGAGGAGAAGAAAAAAGAAATGAAACCTGGCCAATTTGATTCTCTACACGTGTTATCAAGATGCAATGTTCATTGATAAGTGATAAGGAGAAGAAAAAAGAAATGAAACCTGGCCAATTTGATTCTCTACACGTGTTATCAAGATGCAATGTTCATTGATAAGTGATAAGGAGAAGAAAAAAGAAATGAAACCTGGCCAATTTGATTCTCTACACGTGTTATCAAGATGCAATGTTCATTGATAAGTGATAAGGAGAAGAAAAAAGAAATGAAACCTGGCCAATTTGATTCTCTACACGTGTTATCAAGATGCAATGTTCATTGATAAGTGATGAGGAGAAGAAAAAAGAAATGAAACCTGGCCAATTTGATTCTCTACACGTGTTATCAAGATGCAATGTTCATTGATAAGTGATAAGGAGAAGAAAAAAGAAATGAAACCTGGCCAATTTGATTCTCTACACGTGTTATCAAGATGCAATGTTCATTGATAAGTGATAAGGAGAAGAAAAAAGAAATGAAACCTGGCCAATTTGATTCTCTACACGTGTTATCAAGATGCAATGTTCATTGATAAGTGATAAGGAGAAGAAAAAAGAAATGAAACCTGGCCAATTTGATTCTCTACACGTGTTATCAAGATGCAATGTTCATTGATAAGTGATGAGGAGAAGAAAAAAGAAATGAAACCTGGCCAATTTGATTCTCTACACGTGTTATCAAGATGCAATGTTCATTGATAAGTGATAAGGAGAAGAAAAAAGAAATGAAACCTGGCCAATTTGATTCTCTACACGTGTTATCAAGATGCAATGTTCATTGATAAGTGATGAGGAGAAGAAAAAAGAAATGAAACCTGGCCAATTTGATTCTCTACACGTGTTATCAAGATGCAATGTTCATTGATAAGTGATGAGGAGAAGAAAAAAGAAATGAAACCTGGCCAATTTGATTCTCTACACGTGTTATCAAGATGCAATGTTCATTGATAAGTGATGAGGAGAAGAAAAAAGAAATGAAACCTGGCCAATTTGATTCTCTACACGTGTTATCAAGATGCAATGTTCATTGATAAGTGATAAGGAGAAGAAAAAAGAAATGAAACCTGGCCAATTTGATTCTCTACACGTGTTATCAAGATGCAATGTTCATTGATAAGTGATAAGGAGAAGAAAAAAGAAATGAAACCTGGCCAATTTGATTCTCTACACGTGTTATCAAGATGCAATGTTCATTGATAAGTGATAAGGAGAAGAAAAAAGAAATGAAACCTGGCCAATTTGATTCTCTACACGTGTTATCAAGATGCAATGTTCATTGATAAGTGATAAGGAGAAGAAAAAAGAAATGAAACCTGGCCAATTTGATTCTCTACACGTGTTATCAAGATGCAATGTTCATTGATAAGTGATGAGGAGAAGAAAAAAGAAATGAAACCTGGCCAATTTGATTCTCTACACGTGTTATCAAGATGCAATGTTCATTGATAAGTGATAAGGAGAAGAAAAAAGAAATGAAACCTGGCCAATTTGATTCTCTACACGTGTTATCAAGATGCAATGTTCATTGATAAGTGATAAGGAGAAGAAAAAAGAAATGAAACCTGGCCAATTTGATTCTCTACACGTGTTATCAAGATGCAATGTTCATTGATAAGTGATAAGGAGAAGAAAAAAGAAATGAAACCTGGCCAATTTGATTCTCTACACGTGTTATCAAGATGCAATGTTCATTGATAAGTGATAAGGAGAAGAAAAAAGAAATGAAACCTGGCCAATTTGATTCTCTACACGTGTTATCAAGATGCAATGTTCATTGATAAGTGATGAGGAGAAGAAAAAAGAAATGAAACCTGGCCAATTTGATTCTCTACACGTGTTATCAAGATGCAATGTTCATTGATAAGTGATGAGGAGAAGAAAAAAGAAATGAAACCTGGCCAATTTGATTCTCTACACGTGTTATCAAGATGCAATGTTCATTGATAAGTGATGAGGAGAAGAAAAAAGAAATGAAACCTGGCCAATTTGATTCTCTACACGTGTTATCAAGATGCAATGTTCATTGATAAGTGATAAGGAGAAGAAAAAAGAAATGAAACCTGGCCAATTTGATTCTCTACACGTGTTATCAAGATGCAATGTTCATTGATAAGTGATAAGGAGAAGAAAAAAGAAATGAAACCTGGCCAATTTGATTCTCTACACGTGTTATCAAGATGCAATGTTCATTGATAAGTGATAAGGAGAAGAAAAAAGAAATGAAACCTGGCCAATTTGATTCTCTACACGTGTTATCAAGATGCAATGTTCATTGATAAGTGATAAGGAGAAGAAAAAAGAAATGAAACCTGGCCAATTTGATTCTCTACACGTGTTATCAAGATGCAATGTTCATTGATAAGTGATAAGGAGAAGAAAAAAGAAATGAAACCTGGCCAATTTGATTCTCTACACGTGTTATCAAGATGCAATGTTCATTGATAAGTGATAAGGAGAAGAAAAAAGAAATGAAACCTGGCCAATTTGATTCTCTACACGTGTTATCAAGATGCAATGTTCATTGATAAGTGATAAGGAGAAGAAAAAAGAAATGAAACCTGGCCAATTTGATTCTCTACACGTGTTATCAAGATGCAATGTTCATTGATAAGTGATGAGGAGAAGAAAAAAGAAATGAAACCTGGCCAATTTGATTCTCTACACGTGTTATCAAGATGCAATGTTCATTGATAAGTGATAAGGAGAAGAAAAAAGAAATGAAACCTGGCCAATTTGATTCTCTACACGTGTTATCAAGATGCAATGTTCATTGATAAGTGATAAGGAGAAGAAAAAAGAAATGAAACCTGGCCAATTTGATTCTCTACACGTGTTATCAAGATGCAATGTTCATTGATAAGTGATAAGGAGAAGAAAAAAGAAATGAAACCTGGCCAATTTGATTCTCTACACGTGTTATCAAGATGCAATGTTCATTGATAAGTGATGAGGAGAAGAAAAAAGAAATGAAACCTGGCCAATTTGATTCTCTACACGTGTTATCAAGATGCAATGTTCATTGATAAGTGATGAGGAGAAGAAAAAAGAAATGAAACCTGGCCAATTTGATTCTCTACACGTGTTATCAAGATGCAATGTTCATTGATAAGTGATGAGGAGAAGAAAAAAGAAATGAAACCTGGCCAATTTGATTCTCTACACGTGTTATCAAGATGCAATGTTCATTGATAAGTGATAAGGAGAAGAAAAAAGAAATGAAACCTGGCCAATTTGATTCTCTACACGTGTTATCAAGATGCAATGTTCATTGATAAGTGATAAGGAGAAGAAAAAAGAAATGAAACCTGGCCAATTTGATTCTCTACACGTGTTATCAAGATGCAATGTTCATTGATAAGTGATAAGGAGAAGAAAAAAGAAATGAAACCTGGCCAATTTGATTCTCTACACGTGTTATCAAGATGCAATGTTCATTGATAAGTGATAAGGAGAAGAAAAAAGAAATGAAACCTGGCCAATTTGATTCTCTACACGTGTTATCAAGATGCAATGTTCATTGATAAGTGATAAGGAGAAGAAAAAAGAAATGAAACCTGGCCAATTTGATTCTCTACACGTGTTATCAAGATGCAATGTTCATTGATAAGTGATAAGGAGAAGAAAAAAGAAATGAAACCTGGCCAATTTGATTCTCTACACGTGTTATCAAGATGCAATGTTCATTGATAAGTGATAAGGAGAAGAAAAAAGAAATGAAACCTGGCCAATTTGATTCTCTACACGTGTTATCAAGATGCAATGTTCATTGATAAGTGATGAGGAGAAGAAAAAAGAAATGAAACCTGGCCAATTTGATTCTCTACACGTGTTATCAAGATGCAATGTTCATTGATAAGTGATAAGGAGAAGAAAAAAGAAATGAAACCTGGCCAATTTGATTCTCTACACGTGTTATCAAGATGCAATGTTCATTGATAAGTGATAAGGAGAAGAAAAAAGAAATGAAACCTGGCCAATTTGATTCTCTACACGTGTTATCAAGATGCAATGTTCATTGATAAGTGATAAGGAGAAGAAAAAAGAAATGAAACCTGGCCAATTTGATTCTCTACACGTGTTATCAAGATGCAATGTTCATTGATAAGTGATAAGGAGAAGAAAAAAGAAATGAAACCTGGCCAATTTGATTCTCTACACGTGTTATCAAGATGCAATGTTCATTGATAAGTGATAAGGAGAAGAAAAAAGAAATGAAACCTGGCCAATTTGATTCTCTACACGTGTTATCAAGATGCAATGTTCATTGATAAGTGATAAGGAGAAGAAAAAAGAAATGAAACCTGGCCAATTTGATTCTCTACACGTGTTATCAAGATGCAATGTTCATTGATAAGTGATAAGGAGAAGAAAAAAGAAATGAAACCTGGCCAATTTGATTCTCTACACGTGTTATCAAGATGCAATGTTCATTGATAAGTGATAAGGAGAAGAAAAAAGAAATGAAACCTGGCCAATTTGATTCTCTACACGTGTTATCAAGATGCAATGTTCATTGATAAGTGATAAGGAGAAGAAAAAAGAAATGAAACCTGGCCAATTTGATTCTCTACACGTGTTATCAAGATGCAATGTTCATTGATAAGTGATAAGGAGAAGAAAAAAGAAATGAAACCTGGCCAATTTGATTCTCTACACGTGTTATCAAGATGCAATGTTCATTGATAAGTGATAAGGAGAAGAAAAAAGAAATGAAACCTGGCCAATTTGATTCTCTACACGTGTTATCAAGATGCAATGTTCATTGATAAGTGATAAGGAGAAGAAAAAAGAAATGAAACCTGGCCAATTTGATTCTCTACACGTGTTATCAAGATGCAATGTTCATTGATAAGTGATAAGGAGAAGAAAAAAGAAATGAAACCTGGCCAATTTGATTCTCTACACGTGTTATCAAGATGCAATGTTCATTGATAAGTGATAAGGAGAAGAAAAAAGAAATGAAACCTGGCCAATTTGATTCTCTACACGTGTTATCAAGATGCAATGTTCATTGATAAGTGATAAGGAGAAGAAAAAAGAAATGAAACCTGGCCAATTTGATTCTCTACACGTGTTATCAAGATGCAATGTTCATTGATAAGTGATAAGGAGAAGAAAAAAGAAATGAAACCTGGCCAATTTGATTCTCTACACGTGTTATCAAGATGCAGTGTTCATTGGAAGATGCTAATGCAACTATTGGTTTGACATATTGTAAATAAGCTTCTTCAAGTTTTGTTTGAAAAAATACCACGCAGTGCTCTTTACTTTCCATTCTTTCATATGAATAAATAACTGTATGACCACAATAAGCCCACTGAAAAAAAAAAAAAAAAGAAAAATGAAATGAAATGAAATTTTAAAAAATGAAATTTTGAAAGAATTCAAAAGTTTCTTTGAAGTATACTTTTTCTTTCGTTGAAAATTATCATAGCATAATTTATATGCCATTTTAAAATTAACTTACTTATATCTAATTTGACTTATTTCTAGCAGATAAACAATTTATTTGGACTTTCATTTTTTTATGAATATAATATTTCAAAAAAAAAAAAAAGAGAAGGAGAGAGAGAGATCAAAAATATTAATTCAATAATCAAATTGTTAGAAATAATTTTTTATTATGAATAATAAATTAAATTTAACAATTTGTTGATTGAAACATTAATTTGTATAAATTAAATTTAATTTTTTACTTTTGAGATTTTAAATCTTTTTCAAGTTTATGCACATTTTTATAATATAAATTAATTTTGATGGAATAATTTGTAATAAATATTTTCTCACTTTGTAATCGAGTCGAATGTTCGCAAAGAATAAATGGCTATCAACTGCTGCACAAAGTCGTAAGCCATCACCTTCCCATGATATATCAGTAATTGCTTGTCCTGGTACTAGCAAATTTCTTAAAGGCTAAAAAATTTTTTGAAAATTATCAAATGATATATGCAAAATGTATGCAAAAAGAGAATAAAATAATTTTTAAAAAATTTTTCAGAAATAAAATTTAAAATATTTAATCATAAAGTTTTTTTTTTCTTTTTTTTGTACTTTTCTTCCTTCTTATGCATTCAAATAATTAATTTCAATAAAAAAAAAAAAAAAAAAAAAAAAAGAAAGATAACAAAAAATATTTTTAATTTAAAAGAATATTTTTTTAACATTTTGTAATTTTTGTAAGTAATAAACTATTAAAATAATTGAATGAAAAGCAGCTATTAAAATAATTCAATAAAAAAAAATAAATAACAAAAATTATATATTTGTAATCAATATTTTTTCTAAAAAAAAAAAACAAATAAAATTAATTACCTCTCCATAAGCAGTTATAAAATGTATCATACATTTTTCATCTTCTAAATCTGTTTGTAAACCACAAATTGCAAGCATTGAACCATCAGATGACCAACGTGCCTTACTAATTATCATATTTGGTATTTTTATGATAACTGGATCTGCATAAATTAAATTAGTAATTATAATTATTATATTCATTTTAAATATACAAGGATAAAATTTTTTAATTTTTTAATTGTTATCAAAAAATGAAAAATAATAATTATGTTAAAATTCTATTATGCACATATTTTATTTCTATTATTAATTATTAAATATTAAATACTTGAATCATTTTCATGTCGCATTAATTGTATGATACCATGATTATATGCAACAAGAAATCGCGGTCGATCATCCGGGATATGACATCGTCGCAGTAACGAAAATTTAATAATTATTAAATTTTGCAATTAGATTTGAAACTAATATATTATAACGATTAAAATAATGCAGAAAAAAAGAAATTTAAGAAACAAAATTCATAATATTAAAAAAAAAAATTATTATTTAAATTTATATTTTATTTGTATGATACATTTAATTAATTTAAAAATTACAAAATTTGTACATATATTTTTGTTTTTGTCAATTTTAAATTAATTAAAATTAACTTGATAATTGCTTGAATATTCATTTGTTTGAGTTAATGGAGTGAACCATTCCATCGAAACAATTGTAATACGTCGTAAATCTTCTAAAATAAAATTTTTAGTTAAAAGAAAAAGAAACAAATTTTATTTATTTAAATTATTTTTATCAATTTGAAAGTACATAACAAATGAGACATATAGTTGAAATAATTTTGAATTAGACAAAAAAATACAAATAATTTACTATTTAAGGCTGTTTCCAATTCAACATTTTCTATGCAAGCCATACGTAATTTATATATAAATACACCTGTCGCATCATATGACTGTATTTCACCGTCTATTAAGCCGAATAGTACCAATGATGAGTCACCTGACCACTGTAATAATTTCAAAAATTTTAATAAACTTTTTTCAAATAAAATTTAATTTTAATACTACACTTATAATATCAATGATAAATTATTTTATTTTTGTTTTTTTTTTTTTTTTTTTTTTTTTTTTTTTTTTTTTTTTTTTTTTTATTAATTATAGTATTCGGAAAAGAACTTAAAATTATACAAAAGTAATCTCAAAAATATTGAAAAACTTTTATTTCTAACTTTTATTTATGTGATTTTCTTTGTTTTCTTATTTTTTTTTTTTCATTTCTTTTAATAATAAAATTTGATCTATCAAAATTATCAAACATTTTTGCTAATTAAAATTATGAAAAAAAAAAGATTTACACAGAGTGTCACCAAATTACTTGCAACATTTTTATTCCATAAACGATTCCCATCAACCGAACCAACAATTGCTTGTCCTAAAAGAAATAAAATTAAAAATTATAATTTAAAATTTTGCTTCTTCTTTTTTTTTTTCTAGAAAAAGAAAGACATCAATAATATATATATTACCTAATTAAAAAAATGCTTCTTTCAATTCAATATTTTGATCTAATTTTTTTTTTTTTTTTTTGTGATCATTCTCGATTAAAAAAAATTTTTTCTTTCTTAATTTGTTTTTTTGATTTAAATTTTTTGTAAATATTTCTTTTGAAAAAAAAAAAAAAAAAGAGAAAACAATAAATCTTTTCAAAATCTGTTCTATTCGTTACAAAAAAAAAAAAAATTTATTTCATTAAAATTTTCTAAATTTCATTTTTAAATTAAAAAAAAAAAAAGAAAATTAGTGCATTATTTGAGCTTTTTCTATTTATTCCATTTCTTCATTAATTTTATATTTTCAGCATTTTTATACAATTCGTTTCATTCATTCATCCATCATTTTCTGCCATTTTCTTCAAATCAGCTTCAAACAATTTAAATTTCTCTTTTTTTTTTCAATATTATTTGTTAGTATCGAATTTAAAATCTTTTATAATTATAATACTACAATAAGATAAGTATTACTTGTTTGCATAATATTATAGTAAAATAATTAATACTTATTTTAATATAATAATATGACATTGGTATTAATTATTTTGAAAATTAAAAATTTATACTTAAAATGTAAATAGGCATTAATTGTTAGCATAATATTAATATTTATTTCAATATCACATTATGATAGGTATTACTTAATAATTAAAAATTAATATCGAAATTAAGATAAGTATTACTTGTTAGCATAATATTTTAGTAAAACAACTAATACTTATTTTAATACCATATTATGATAGGTATTACTTATTTTAAAAATTAGAAATGAATACCTAAATTAAGATAGGTATTACTTGTTTGCATAATATTGTAGTAAAATAATTAATGCTTACTTTAATATATAGGTATTACTCATTTCAAAAATTAAAAAAGTATATTTAAAATGTAGATAGGTATTACTTGTTCGCATAATATTGTAGTAAAATAATTAATACTTATTTTAATACCATATTATGATAGGTATTACTAATTTCAAAAATTAAAAATAAATACCTAAATTAAAATAAGTATTACTTGTTTGCATAACATTGTAGTAAAATAATTAATGCTTACTTTAATATCATATTATGATAAGTATTACTTATTTCAAAAATTAAAAAAGTATACTTAAAATGTAAATAGTTTTTAAATGATAAATGATTAATTTTAATTTTAAACGATTTCACCATAAAATATTTAAATTTAAAAATTAAAAACGACTAATTGAAATTTTAAAATAAAAATTTTTTTTTTTAATAATTAAATGACAAACCATCCTCATAAGCGATTGCAATTTTACTACCATTATGACTCCATGCCATACCAACCACAACTGATTTATTCCTTTTGTTGATCATTTCCTCATACCAACTATCACTTTGTGTCAACCAAACAATTATCAAACCATTACTGTCACATGTTGTCAACTTCTGATAGCACTCATTCCATTCTGCTATATGAACAACATTCGAATGTCCATCTAAATTTTGATTCATTGATAAATTTGTTGACATCGCTGTTGTTGTTGTTGTTGTTATTGTTGAGGAAGCATTGTTATTGTCTGCAAAAGTTATTGTAATTGTTTATTTACCTATCATTTATATTTAAGTAATATATTTTAAAAAGTTAAATATTTTTTCTTTTCTTAAAAAAACAGATTTTTTACAACTGAAGCTTTTTTGTTGTTATTGAGGAAGCATTGTTATTGTCTGCAAAAGTTATTGTAATTGTTTATTTACCTATCATTTATATTTAAGTAATATATTTTAAAAAGTTAAATATTTTTTCTTTTCTTAAAAAAACAGATTTTTTACAATTGAAGTTTTTTTTGAGAAAGAAGAAGAGAAATTTGAAGAAAAAAAAATACTGAATATTTTATAAAATATTGGAAATAAATAAAATAAATATAAGAATAAATGTAGAAATATGGAAATAAATAAATTGCACTGATTTTTTTTTCAATTCTAATAATTTTTAAAACAAATTAAAATAAAAAAAAAAAGGCACTAACTCGAATTTGATGGTAGTTTAAGAATTTTAAGTAATCCTTGATTTCCACCAGTTGCAATATATCCTGATGTTTTCATCCATGATACACAATATAGTTTAGTACTATTTGGAATTGAAATCTAAAATATTTCAAATTTTAACTTAAAATTTTGATTATTAAAATTTAAGAGCAAAAAAAAAAAAACAAAATTTCTCTTTTTTTTTTTTTTTGTTTTTGTTTTTTTTTCATTGCAAATAAAATATGCTATCAATCAAACAAATGCACTCTCAAGAGATGAGTTGAATAGCAATTTCATTTCTTTTCCATACAAACTTCCATTTCTTAATCAATGATTAAAAAAAAAAAAAAAAAAAAACAGAAGGAAGCAATCATCATAAAATGTCACCAAAACAAAAATGTCACCATGTCACCAAAATGAGACACTTAAGGATGTCAACTCATACCATTTATCTAGCAAAAATTGTTAAAATCCTGATGTAAATATTGATGAAAGTTAGTTTTCTTCCTATTTATTTCGTTTTTTTTTTTTTGCTTTTTAAAACTTTTTTCTTTTGTTTTTTAAAAAAAGAAAAAAAAAACGAAAATTAAATGAATAAAAATATAACCTTTTTGCTTAGATATACAAATATCATTAAAATTTTTTTTGATGCGAAGAATTTTCAAAGAGAATTTGAATGAAATTTTAATTATTGATTAGTTTGCTAAACTGAAATTAGCTGTTAGAAATATATTTTCTTAGTTGTTGTTACCATGGTAATAATTCCAATACTGCTTATTGCTGCATAATTTTAACTAACAAAATTATATTTTTACAAGACAATAATTGCAAATTTAATACCTGATAATTGAAATTAAATTTTTTCGATTGTAAAATTTAAATATCAACAAATTTTAAATTATTACTTGGATAATATCGATCAAAATTCTAAATTATAAGTGAAAAAAAAGAGATTTAAAACAACATCTCAATTATAAAAAAAAATAATCTTTGTCAAAATTACGGAAACATTTAGCTCATATATAAAGAAGAAAATTTTTTTTTTCTTCAAAATTTATTTTTATTATTAACAGTTAGAAGTTTTAGTAATACTTTTTAACTATCAAAATATTTATTTAATCTATGATGTAATTATTCATTTTTTTCAAACAAAAACTTTGTAAAATTAAAATTTTAATTTTTTTTTAACTCATCTTTTTCTTGATAATTAATTAAAAAATATTTTTAGAAAGAAAAAGTTAAAGTTTGCACCAAAATTATAAAAAAAGAAAATCGTTCAACAAACTTCAAAAAAGAAAAAAGAGAATTTAAAATTACACTAACAAAATTTTTAAGATTGATTGATAGAAATATTTTCATTCAGTAAAAAAAGTATTGTTTCTATTTGTTGAAAACAAAATGAAAATTATTAGTTTTATTTTTTATAAACTTTGAATTTTAAAATTTTTTAATTACTCGTTAAATTGATATTTTATTATTAATTTGAATTTTAACTTGTAAAATTTTGACTAATAAAATAATATTTAATGCTTTTGACAAATTGTTTATCAAATGTTTTACTCAAGTACTTAAGTACCTAATATTGTCTGAAATTAATAAAAATGATAAATGAAAAATACCGAAAAACAAATTTTCAATTTATTTCGTTCATTTTGATTTAAAAAAAAAAAAAAAAAATAAATTCTCTGAGAGTAGAAATCGATTATTTATTTATATTCCATTTTCATTTCATTTTTTTTTTCAGAAATTTTTATTTTCCTTTTGTTTTGCAAAAATTTAATTTTAATTTGATAATAATGTAATCAATATTATTAGCAATAATTATTCTCAATTATTACAGTAATGTTTATATTTAGTACTTGAAAAAATTAAAATAATTAAAATACAAAACAATTTTTTTGTAAGAATTATTGTTTACTTAACTGTTAGTAAATGTAATAAATGCCAATTTCAAATTAATTTCATTTCATATAATCAGAAATGATAAAACTATTATCAATTCTGTTTGTGTTAAGCGATCAAATTGAGATTGCTCAAAATATAATTATAATATATTTAAAGTTGTATTCTATATTCGATAAAAGTAATTAAGAAAAATAATAAGTATTAGCCAACAAATACTCAATAATTGTACATTAGATAACATTATTCTAATTAGGCCAAATCTAGGCTAAGCCTAGTTAAGGCTAAGTTAGAAATAATAATATTCTAGCTAGGCAAACATCTGGTTAGAATATTGTTATTTTCATTTTTTGCTTAAAAGAATGAAAATAATTCATCTAAATTATTAGTGCAAAAATTTGTTTATTCAACATTTTTTATTATTTTTGCAAAACAAATAAAAATTTTAAAATTTATTTTTTAGAGAAAAAAATTATTTTATAATAGTAAAAAGTGATAAATCGATATAATATTTAAATTAAATAAGAAATGAATAATTAATTTGCATTTCTGATTTGATAATTAAATAATTCAGTTTGATGTTTTTAAAATAAGTGAAAAAAATTATGAATAATTTTAAAATTTTTAATGCAAAATTAATTCTTTCAATTTCAGATCAAATTTTAATGTTTCATCTTTTTTTTTTGAATAAATTTCAATAATGTAACTTAGAATAATACTAGAAAATGCAAAAAAAAAAAAGAAAAGAAAAGAATAAAAAAAAAAAAGTAGAAATAATTGAAAATTAACAGGAAGTAATGAAAATATTTAAGAAAATGAAAGTTAAAACTAACTGTGTTAAAACTAAGTTTTCATTATCTAAGCTATGACCAAATATATATAATTTTTTTGAAATTATTAAATAATATTTTAAATTTTAAAATTAATTAATCATTTGCTTATTTTTATTTGTACACTATTATTCATAGAATTAATTAGTAAAAAAAAAAAGTTTTTATTCATTTAGAATTAATTAGTTAAATTGCTCATTAGAACAATAGTATTTAGTGTAAAATTCTATCTATTTCTAAATTAAATTGAAATTAAAAAAAAAATTTATTAAATTAAAAATAATTTTTATTAAAATATTATAATATCATATTTAATTGCTCAAACATTTTTAATTTTGCAATTTATTAGTTTAAAATAATATTTGTTCAGTTTTTTTTTTTTTTAAATTTATCACAAAGTAATTACAATTTAACTAAATTTTTTCTCTTAAATTTAAAAAAATTTTTTTCTTGCTAACATTAAATGTTACGTTTAATCATTAGTTAGCATTATAATTACGTAATGGATGTAAACAAATATTAATAATTTTAAATTATAAAAATATTACTTTGCTTAATTACGAATAATTTTTGATGAAAGTATATGCGTGTATATTATGTATTATATTTATTTCTATTTGCTATTCTTTCTTTCAGGCATACTAAAATATAATTTATCTCATAAAGTTTTATCTAAAAATAAAAAATAGAAATATTTGAAAGCTAAAATTGAATTAAATTTCGTATAGGAATGAATTAAAATGTAATTTGTGTAAAATTTAATTGTAATTATTATTGCTACAGCAACAATTATGAATAAATCATCAGCTAAAAATACAAGTCGAATGAGGAGGGAATCATTTAAAATGATCAAATCTTCATCACCGATCATGTCATCATCTCTGTCAAGAGTTCAAAGTTCAGCAGCTATATCAAGTCGAACAGTATGTTTTAATAATTCTTTTTATTACACTTATTTTTATCCAATTAATTAAACTAAATTAGATAATAATTTAGCATTTTTAAGCGCTCTTATCTTATCAAATCTTATTGCAAGCATATATTTAGTGATTTTACAGTGATAAAAAAGTTAGATAATAAGTAATTATAATATTTAATTAATTAAATAACTTTTTTTAACGGATAATATTAATGTTATATCATTTATTTTCTTAATTTTGATGTCTAAATAAAGCAAAATTTTGGAGATGAACTATCATTATTATTGTCATTATTATTACTTATTATTATCACTATTATTGTTTATTATTATTATTGCAGGTAATATTAATGTTATGTCATATATTTTGTTAATTTTGATGCTAAAATAAAGGAAAATTTTGAATGAACTATTACTGTTGTTGCTATTATCATTACTGTATTTATTGTCGTTCTTAATATTATTACTATCGTTTTCATTATTATTACTGTAATTTATCGTTGTTATTATTACTACTGTAATTATTATTGCTGTTGCTATCATTATTGCTGTCAAATTATTACTGTAATTATTATTGCTGTTGCTATTATTATTGCTGTCACAATTATTACTGTAATTATTATTGCTGTTGTTACTATTATTGCTGCCACAATTATTACTGTAATTATTATTGTTGCCATAATTATTACCGTAATTATTATTGCTGTTGTTACTATTATTGTTGCCATAATTATTACCGTAATTATTATTGCTGTTGTTACTATTATTGTTGCCATAATTATTACGTAATTATTATTGTTACTATTAATACTGTTATTAATAGTTACTTTTTTTATTATTATTACTAGCATTAATCATATAAATTTAACTTTTAGCAAAAGCAAACATTGAGAAATGATGAAAGTGATGATGCGATGGAACCGATGGAAAATTTAAGTTCAGTTGATGCAAATATAAATCAACAATTGAAAACACGTACTGATAGATATAAATCTTTCGGTACGCATTATCAGGAAGCAATTCGTGGGCCACATGCTAGTTTCCGGCTTAGAATGCTTCAGGAACAACATATACAACCCGTAAAGACAATAATTTTTATTTTTTTTTCTTCGCATTTTTTTTTTTTTTTTTTGTTATTACTTTAAGGTATCATAAGTTTATACAATTAATAAATTAAATTATGAAAAAAAAAAAAACAAAAATGCTCAAATTATTTTTATTTAATAATATTAAAATATAAAATTTAATAAATTTTAATTTTAATGCAATTTATCTTATAGAGTTTTATACCAAAAAAAGTAAATCATACACGAGCAAAAGAATTAGAATACAAATATTTAAACAAATCGGAATTTGGAACATTTGCTAAACAAAATGTAAATGAAACATTTGATGGTAAGTTTGATATAATTTGTTAATTATCAATAAAAATGTTATCTCTTTTTTATTTCTTAAATAATGAAATTAATTATTTATAATTTCTTCTTATTTATGCAAATATTAATAATACTTATATTTGTTATTTATTATATATTTATTACTTTTATCACTTTTTTTTTATCATATATATTTATTATCATTGATAAATGATATAATATATATTGATCTTCTATACACTTAAATATACATATATTAATAAATATGCAAAGATATTTATTTATCAATGATA